GCCCAGCGAGGGGGTCCCGCGGGGCACCGCGCTCGCCCTGCACGCAACACGGCGGTTCCGGGCGCAGCGCGGCGCAACGCAACGGGGTTTCATGGAGAACCGGTGCTGGGCTCAGGGACAGCACAGAATCACCGCGCCAGCCACAATACCAGGCTGCATTTTGCCTGTTTTATCGAATCACAGCACAACAGGCCAAAACAGCCTGTTTTGTTATAGTTTTGGAACTCTGGGAAGAGCAAGAGGAGAAGGAAGCCTCTTCTCTACATCACTGCCAATTGCGAGGAGCGCTGCTATAGGGTATCAAAATGCTGCTCGCGTGGGCAGCACCCATGGCACCTTCCCCACAACCAGGGCAATCCACTTTGGTTAACACCAAACCGCTGGCAGAAACAATGGGATAGCTGCAAAACCCCCAGTTCTCCCCACTAGATCAACTGGGGAGCTGAAGGAGCCCTTGCTCTTTGAGCTCTACTGCGATTATCGTTGCAATAAGACAGTGCTTAGTACTACGGAAGGTGAAGACTGAAAAAAAATCTACTAAATCCTGATTAAAATACTACAGAAAAGAGACAAGAGGGCCAGAAAAAAAACATTCAATCAGAGAGAATAAAGCAAAGGCAGCCCCGCACGGGAGCGCAGCCCCCGGTGCGTACCCACATTCCAGGCACATCTCAGGTGACAGGAGGGACAGCAAGGCGCTTCTGGCTGCAAGGGCTAAGCTGAGACTAAAGGGGCCTTTGTTGGTACCAGGTCTCCTGCTATGTCTAAGCCAGGCTGTCAATAAACACTGATTTATAGTTCACTGTCTATATTTTTCAGAAGGGGACTTCGGATGCCAGTAGGTGAAAAGGAAATCATGTAATTTTGTTCTTTCAGGTATTTTTATTTGCGAATTCCCTCGAGTTCCACCCAGCTGCGCAATGCAGCTGTATTGAAAACCTCTCCAGCAGCCAGCAGGGCCAGCCGAGCGGTTCTGAGAGCTGGCGCCGGGCGCTGCTTCTCTCCCTCTTCCCTCTGTGCGCCCACTGCTCTCCCACTGTTTGCCAGCTGAAGCTCTGCGAAAAGGAGCAAGGGGGAAAAGCCTTGGGGCACTAAAGAAACCTCGTCTTTGCTGGGTTTGCTGAGGACAAAAGGGCGTCTCCAGCAGGGCCAGGAGGACGAGCAGGGATTTATCTGTTTTAACTTTATTAAAAGACGGATGAAACTGCTGAACAAGCGACAATTCCCCACCTTCACTTGCTCCCTTGCCTTCAAGACTATCCCAGTTAAGCTTGAGGAGGCTCACGTGGTGGATACAGGTTTGGAGAAGACCGCAGCTCTTTGTGACAGCAAAGAGGGGACCTAGGTCTGCCAAGAGGGCCCTAAGCCCCCTCCTGCCAGCCTGCCAGCACACACATAAAGGGCTCACGGGCACTGGCTGCTCTTGCACCGTGTCCTCCCCGCAGCGAGCACCAACACCCTGCAGCAAGCAACACCACGGATACACACAGGTCCCATTTGGAAAGCAAAAGCATTAACCGAAGCCAACCGACTTCTTGTTTTGCTGTAAGATCACGCCTCCGTGACTCCAAATTAGTTCGTTTGATCTCTTAGCAGCATACTGCTCTTCTGATGATTTTTGTTTTCGTTTTGGCAAGTTCAATACCCTGGTATTGGACACAGCAGTTCGGGTGGCTGAAATGATTGACTTGGCAGTGGGTTTTGCCTCCTTGTTTTGGGCCTTGTACAACCAAAATTACTGCCCAGGATTGCTGCTGTCCACGTGCTTGTGCATGTATAAAAATCAGGCTTATTGTGCACTGGGTGTCCACTTCAGGCAGCTTACAATATCCAACTGCGTGTGTATAAATATATATAGAATAACACACTGCAAATATATATCTATATACACACTCATCAGCATACAGAGTCAAAACTAAAATTATTACAATATAGATGAGAACAGACTGAAAATACTGCACGTAAACAAGGGCAGAGAGGGCTGAGCAGAACTTCTGCCTAGTGCTTTGCCCCAAGCCGAGGGCTTTGTAAAGGATAGGGCCGGCTTAGGTAAATCCCTCCTTGTCTGCTTCAGCCTAGAGCTGCAGTCCCTTTGGAGAGGGGACAGTCCCCTCCTGGTGCAGAAACCCGCCGGTTGTCACAGCGTGTCCCCAACGCACGCGGAGGGACGACTGCCACCGCACACGGCACGAGCTCCAGCACGGGCTCGCTCAACCGCTCCGCCAACGCATTCAGCATTTAAAACCAGTATTTCTCCTATTATTTCTCCTATTATTTCTCCTAGGTTAGCTGAAAGCAGAAGGGTGCTCAGAGCCCCAGCTGCCACATAGAGCTCCTGGCTGAAGCCAGAGGAACGGCCAGAGAACAAGGGGGACTGAGGGACGACTGCAGGACGCGGCCCCGAATATCGGCTCATCTCCACTGGGACAGAGGAGAGAAGGGAAGCTCCAATTTATAAACAGGACGAGTTTCACCAGCGGGTTGCCTACAAAATCCAAGCAAGGAAACCATCTCCTGACTCTAGGTCTGCTGCGAACTGCAAACTCCAAGTTATTAGGGAGAAGAACGTTTCCAATCGGTGCTGGCTGCTGTGAAGAGCAATGCAATGGGGCCATGAGACACGGTCGGGCTTAAATCCTGAACGTGGAGGAATAATTCACTGTCACAAAAGCAAGAAAGCTTGTGCATATCCACGAGTCTATTTAACTGCTGATGTTACAGAACTGGACACAAGCAACTAAATTCATGAACTTCAGACAAACAGGCCCTCAGCAACTACACTGTGCTTGTAGATCTGCCTCCTGAAAATGTTTTAAATGTATTATTAAAGCTTTCATTTAAATGTACAGTCTGAAAGCCAAAGCTCATGGGTACGTTTAGGCATGGAGAGACACGTCCTTGCAGGTCTCTATGAAGGGTTCTGGGATGTTACTGCTGCCAGCTGGACCCTGGTCACTGCCCAAACCCCCTGACAGGGACCAGGATCACGATCAGGATCATCACAGGGCTCAAACCAACCAGCCTTCCTGCAGTACCGGGACCTCAAGGAGCTCAGGGGGTTAAGGCAGCACTCACGGCTCTCAACCACTCCAGGCACATCTGAAGAAGGATGCTGGGATGTCACCTACTGCAAAGATCAATTACCTGTTTACCAAGCAGGCCGGAGATGGATCGGGCAAGACAAAGACCAAACTCTGTCCGCTATGGACAGTGTCCCGCAGTCTCTCAGTCCTGACTCTACTTGGCTGCAATTGCAGCATGATGGAACTTGCAAGCACTACGGGCAAGAACTGTGAATGAGAAGAGACTGGGAAGAAACTGTTGTCACCTGGTCTTTAAGGGGGCTGAAGCCCAACCATGGTCTTCCATCAACCGGGGAGTCAGGTGCACTGATTCTCGACTTGACGCAAGAGTTTTTTAGTTTTCATGGTATCATTTGTGGGCATTTACACAAAACCCTGAAAAGAACCTGATTTTCAGAAAATGTCTAGCACCAATTACTTGAAAGTTAAGACTTATACGGGTCTCCAATCAGAACTACTAATCATTTCTGAAAATCTTCGCTAAGAGCGGGACTGACCTTTAAATAGCAGGCAGAGAGTGAGGTTTTCCTTCCAGAACAACGCAACTTTAAATTATTTATTTTAAATTACAAGGAGGGGAGTGAGAAGACTTCCAGAAAACAGCCCTATGCCACGAAAGCACCAGCTTACCATGGAATTGCAGCCGAGAAACCCCCAGCCATGTCAGCAGCAGTGGCCACCACCGAGCACCCACGTCTCCACGAGCCGCACGGCGCCCTTGCCCTGCTTTGTGCACTGTCACCTCCGTATGCGACACGCCAGCAAAGGGAGCCCTGCTTTCCCCGAGCTCAGAAAGGAAAATATTCTGCATGGGGGCATGTAACGATAGCCTTGTGTGGCGGGTACGACACCGTGGGACCCTGATCCAGCAGAACAGACCGACTCTTCGCAGGGAAAACAGTTTGTTGGTCTCCCTCCCTCACACACACCCCCTCTCAATACGGTTGCGAAAACGTCATATACACTACATACACATCACAGTTAAAAATAACGCGTTTTTTAAATGACTGGCGGCTGGCGAGGATGCCTTTGCTCGAAACAACAGCCCTGGGCGAGGTACTTGCTTCACGCTCGCGGGATAAAGCCCCTCGTTATGCACAAGTGCGGATATACTTGAAAATAAGCTCTTTGGCTGCCTGCGTGTCGAGCTCCATGCTTTTATTCCAAAGGGAAGGACTTTCCAGCTTCGATCTTGGACTGCTAACCGAGGCGGCGCTGAGCCCAAGGACCCACGTGCACAAGTCCAGGCTGGGAACAAGCCCATGGCAGAGGGCAGCGCGGAGCGGGCAGGCCTGACACCCACACAGTCTCTACAGGAGCAGGGCCTCCAGCCTACGCAGAAGACGCCGTGATCCAGGCTCAAGGACACCTTTAACTGACCTTGCTCCCAGGCAGCTTGAAGCGCAGTCCGTCTCTCCACACTGTTTTCTACTATCCCACGGGAGCTGTTAAGTTCCCACCCAAAATCGCGCCGGGACCGACTACCTGTGGAGCAGCAGCAGGAGTCCTGCGCTGGGGCCGTTTCATTCTCCAATGTTGTCACTAGGTACAAAGTGCAAAAGTGTTGCTGTTCCTGCATCCATTAAAAACGTTAAAAACAGAACAAAAAAAAAAAAAAACCACAACAGAAATGGATTTCCATAATAATCTGAAAATACATTAGTCTCCGAAAAGCCAGCGAACACCTGATAAGCTGTTTGTGCCAGGTCTGCTCTCGCTCCCGCGCGGCGGATCGCTCTCCTCGGCGCTGGCGGGCGCCGCGCCACCTTCCTCGCACGCTCCGGGGCCAGGGGAGGACGGGAGCCGCGAAGCGGAGCTTTGACGCCTCGGACAGGAGAGAGCCGGTACTAAATGACCCAGGATTCTGCAGTGAATTGTCGCGTGCCCAGGGCAGAGCGCGCGGGGCAATTCACTGGAATGCAGACACTTCCCGTTCCTTACGACGGTCCAGCATTACAGGAAGATAACTAGCTGGCCTCTGGCTTGGGACAATGTCAGTGACTTCCCTCCCACCCCACAGAAACGTAAAATAAATTCCCTCCCTGCTTCATCCCGTTTAAAGTGTTTGCATCTTTTCCTCCTATGAAATGTTTCTGATAAGGCTTTATTGCTATACAAAAGCGGTGCAAATGCTGCCCAAAGACAGCTCCATCAGGAACTTTGGTCACACGACTGCGGGACGCTTTGTGCACTGTCCAAGTCCCAGCGTAAGACCTGCTACCTTTCTGAAGAGAAGCTGAATACTGTGTGCAATAACACTACGAAAATAGGACTGAACCCCAAATACAAAACAAAAATAAGGGGGAGAGGGAAGGGGACAAAGAACTAAAATTAGGCAGAAGGCTTGCTTGGGAAGAACCCCATCATTCCTGTGATGACTAACTGATCAATGCTACATTTAGACAATGCAAGTGTCTTTCAGAACAGATCGTTGGTGTTGAAACTGCATGTCTGGTCCTGAATGCCAGCTCTCTCATCAATGCAGCATTTATTAAAAAATAAAATTAAAATGAAAAAAAAAAAATTGACAAATTGCATCACCAGGTAGCAGCCTGGCCTGGATCACACACGTCCCATTGCATTTGTTTCATCAAGCAGGGCCATTTAATGTGGCTTCAGCACAGGGCAAGACTTCTTCCTTCCTATAGACAAACCAGAAGAGTAATATTAGAGAAACACAACTACAGGACCATGCTCACTCCTAATGCTTACTTCCAGCCTGGCATTAGCACTGGACACTTTCTTCGTCAGTAGCATCTGAGTCGTCCTTCCTCCTGCTAGGGCATTATTAGCTTCCTAGTCTGACTCTCTTCTGAATCCTTTACAAAACACTACATTTAGAAAGCAAGGGGAGATTGAGAAGCCAACTTTAACCCCTGATTGCACAACATTAACTTGCTGAATTGGAAAGTTTGAAGCGCGAGCACGAGGGCTCGCTCTAAAGGACCTCGAGCAGCTTTGTTGGGGCCCGGAGCTGCCTGGTCCTTGCTTGGGCTGCGTCACGTTCCTGCTGCGCTGGCCTTGACACCTGCCTTGTCCTGGGCCAGGAGGTGTCTGGCACCCGGCTGGCTGGGCCCGGTGTGGCCGTGTCCACGGGCGAGGGCTCCCACCTGCACTGCTGCCACCCTCAGCCCCTCGGTGCCATCCCTTGGCCACCGCGGTGCTCGCAGCCCTGGCAGTGCCAGGGCTCTGGTGGCACAGAGCAGAGATGAGGGCACTGACTGTGGGAGGATCCCTCTACATATTTAAAACGTCCCTAGCAGTCACTAGCAGTAACAACTCCTTGTGTCCCTTCTCCCCAAGTTTACTTCCCGTTTCAAAACCCATTTTCCAATTTTCCTCGCATTATTTTCATTGCTAATGTCTAAGAGTTCATCTCAACACTGAAACTCTCATCATTTGCACACTGGTTCTGCAGCAGAAAGAAATAAGAATCCATTATTTTAACGATAACAAGTGATTTTATAGAACCTCTGATAAACTCAGAGATACACGAAACGAAGTGCTGTGACGTGAGACTGGAGTGCTGCCTTCAAGACACTCCAGATCTATTAATCCCATAGCTCGTTCCCACAAATTACCGTGAGAAGAACCGCATTCAGGGACACGGCAAAGCCGGTTGCGTGGCACAGGGCAGGCAGGACCGGTCGGGAGCTGCTCACCTGTCTTTGGGCGCCGTTTCGGGGCCGGCCGTGCCGGCGGCCGCGGTTGGGGGGTTCTGGTGCTCCTCGGCGTGCTGGGCTGCGCTCAGGGTCTTGGAGGCTTTTGTGGTCGCCACGTCCGAGATGCTCAGCTTGTCGAGAACCACGCAGGCCGCCTCACTGTGGGAAGAGTTGAAGCGACAGCACAGTTAATTAAGTTAAATTCCACTGGAATAAAAAAAAAATCCTCTTCCTCATCTAACTCATGCCACAAAATTCCCATACAGAGATAAGAAATGAAAATAAACTGGAATTTAAAACCATTGTGTACATCACAAAGGCTATATTTTCTAAAAATTATCGAGATACCAAAAAGGCACAAGAACAATAATTCCTTTAGAGAGGCACTTCCATTTCCTGCAGCAAAATCAGGCCTGTGGATCTGAGTGCCCCATCACGGTCTGGAAACAGAACATTTTAGTCCCGTTTAGTACATTTTAGCAGCACTCAACCGTGGGTGCATGGTCCTGAGAGCGCACACGGGACGCACAGTGGGAGCCTGCCGGGTCAACGGCACAAACGATGCCACACGGAGCACGCGCAGGGAGGATTTTACAAGCACAAAAATGTCAAGAAAATCACGTTTGCTACTAGAAATGCACTAGAATCACACTACTCACCTGCACCAATAACTGCAGACTATTGATACGATTACCAGCTCATCGGTTCTGGAACTGTCCTGTTCTACTCAATAAAACCTAGGCAGCTTCCAAGCCCCCAGTTCTCTAAATTGCCCATTCTGGCAAAGTACGTTTTTGATCTTGCACAGGTGCCTATGCTGCTATAAACTAGAGATTTTTCCAAAGTGGTAACTGGTAATTCTGTGTCCACTGAGAAAAGACTTAAAATTAAGTAAAGAACCTAAAATTCTGAGGAATAAGTTAATGGGATGTTCATGGATGGTGTATCTGGAAGCTAGAGCTAAAGCAACCTGCTTTCAGTAGCATACAACATGACAGGTCCACGTGCTTGCATGATTACATTACTAATGATGTATGTCTAAAACACCACAAATGCTGAAATTCTGAAAAAAGAAAAAAAAAACTGTCGTCAGGAAACCTCCAAATCTTCTATGTGCATATTCACAAGTCTCACGTTTCTGTGAAGTGATTCCTGGGAACACCTTTATATTTTTGCCTCCTATATAAAGTAAAATAAATAAAGCTAAATGCAAAGAAATTTGAAACAGAGGGCCTAAAGACAAACACGTTTAGGACCAATGTAATTAAACCGTGGATGTCCTGAAAGAAGTAGCTCTGCAACACAATGACACAGAGTCCCATGTTAAAAGATGATAAACTGCTGGCATCTGAAGAAGGTTCTGACTAGCTGGGTCTGGCTGCACGCTGCATTGAGCTGGTTTTTAAGTCTTGTAAGTCTTTTTAAGTCTATTTCTCTCCACACACGTGTATGTCTGTATTCACTCTATGGTTACGATGCTTACTGATAGATTTGAGCCTTGAGCCTGGTATGATTTTCACACTGTGCTCTTGTAGTAGGTTATCACCTAAAGGATATAGGCAGGCAGTATAGAGTCATATTAGAGGAGTTTACAATGCATACATACAACCAGAGCCTGGTCATTAAAACATGTGATAGGTTTCCAGATCTAGTTTCTATTTCTGTAGCTACTTTTCTATGTTCTCTTGAAGAAAGTCTTGTAAGAAAAGAGGAATAATGACATAATACCAATTATCTTTATAAAGATCTAACATGTCTTCAAAAAACAACACTGTAAGTAGAAAAATATCCTATAGAGAAACTGTGGGGGGACAGATGAGACAAGAGACAGTCAAACCAACTTGGTGAATTAAGTTGCCATAAATATCATTAGAAAAAGGCCTGTCGCACAAGAAACTTGAGCTCATGAGGCTCAAATGGGTCAAGGACAAACTTCAATCACGGAAATGTCCATGGCCCAAGGATTCCATTATTCTGAAGTTCTAAGGGAAAATAGTCACAGAATTTTCTCTCTCTTCAACAGGCTCATGGAAAACCAGAGCTGGACACCCCAGTCTTTGCAGATGAACCCCTACAAGCCAAACTAGCCAGGTAGAGACTAAAGGCGGCAGGTTGTGAGGAAGAGCAGAGCAGGATCCAGACTGGAGGGTAACAATATCCCACCGGATTCTAGAAGAAACCCTAGGATGTGTGAATATTTTGCACCAACATACTCTTGTGGTGGGTTTTCTCCTATGGAGCATGCTGTAAGCTCCAGCGTGGTGCGTCCCATGCTCTAGCAGGCCAAGAGCTGCTCCAAATGCAAGCATAGTTGTGCATGGGGACAGGGACCGACCCTGTGCAACCTGTGGGAGAACAGGACCCTCCTCTCGTGAGCTGAGAGCAGTAACCAAGCCTGGCTCTACGGAAGCCTCTTCTCAGGTTGCTGTTAGAAGCCCTACAAAAGGATCTCTAACAGCTCCCAGCCTAGAGAGAATTAGCACGTCTCCAGCCCAAGTCACTTGTAAAAATGTGGCTTAAGTGGCCCATTAAGTCACTTAAGACTTAAGTGACTTAAGTCTGTCCAGAAGTGTCTTTTCTCCTAATATTGTAGCCAAACTGTGCAGCTAATGAGCTCCTTTGTAAACACTACTCTGCAGAGGCCACTTCCAGCAGGGAGTTCTCCAAACACTGCAATGCATCCCGAGATGTGAAGCACCCTCAGGGCACAAGCTGAATAATCAGCCCGTCAGCCTTATCAGAAAATAAGGCTAGAAGATACAACCAGCATTACTGGGTTGCATTTTTTTTTTTTGCTGCAACCAGGTCACTTTTTTTTTTTTTGCGGCAACCAGGTCTCCTCCAGACCCTATGTGCTGCTAAGCACTCTAATTTCACTTAGAATAATGACATAATAAATGACAATAATAATCAAGCAGAAGTCTCTCTAATAGAGCTTGTGCAAAAGCTGTGATTCACCTTAAAGGAGGTGATCGGACAAGGAAGGCTACGGAGCCACTGCTGGCCAAAGCTGCTGGTGCCTGTGCCACCTGTACATGCACACGGATGCACATGGATGCACATGGATGTACACGGATGCACACATGGTCACCCAATGGGAAAAGCAAACAGCTTTGTCCTTTCCAGCAGCTGTCACTAGGCAAGGCAATCAAGGAAAGCCCTGACAATATATCTGGTTTCAAGAGGGCTTTAAGGGCCTGTTCCCCAGTGCGCACAGATTACTTGAGATGGAAGATTTGAGAAAATGACCTTTGGCTTCCAGTCGCCTTTGGGGACTTCTTCTACCGTTGGTTTCATCCCATACAGCTGGGTCACCGCCTCATCTGCCTCCTATGATTCTTCTCAGACAGTTGCCTTTGACTTGCTGCTGAAACCCTGCAGCTCTCCCAGCTTAGGGGTTTCAACTCTGCAAACTTGTTCCTTAGAGAAAACCTGCTACAAAGACTGCATGCAGTCCTCCACTACATGTAATATAAAATCCACAACGCAAGAATTATTAAATATTCTAACTCCAGGTCTCAGGTGCTATAAAAGGGCTGCTTGGTTCTTTGCTTTAATGCAGAAATCACACCAATACAAACGCTCCTCAAACTAACAATACAACTGTCCTCCTTGAAGAGCAGTTTCCTCCTAGAAAAACAGGATTAAATGAAGAATGTCACACTCCTTAACTACTGCAGTTCTCCTAACTGATACACAGTTAAAATAAAATCATGGGCTGCTCTATAAAGAGGAAAAGTGGATGCTAGCTTAATATTTGGTAACGCTTCAGTTCTTTCTAGCAATTTCTTCCAACTTTATGGAGAAAATATTTTATATTGCAACTTTTTGCAACCATTCTCTCTTGCCCAGTTTAGAATCACAGAACCACAGAGTGGGTAAGGTTGGAAGGGACCTCTAGAGATCATCTAGTCATTATTAGATGATTATAACCACCAATTATAATTATAGATCATCAGCTATACAAAATCCTTTACAAGATCCATTTCTACCCTTCCACTGCAATGTATGCATCTCCTTCCACCCCATCTTTCCATTGAGCTACTTCTGGAGAGCTTCTCAGATCCAGCAGGCCAGTCAATGGGGAGCAGTTTTGGGAGGCCTTTCGAAGCAGCCTGACCCAGCCTGACTGCTTTAGCACCAATGCAGCTTCTGGTGATGCCAAAAGTGCAATATTCATCTACCCTCATTGTTACAAGATTTGTAAGGAATTCAGACTGCAGTCAGGAGTGCTCCGAGAGCTTTAAGTGTTTCAGGAAAAAATGAATTTGCTCCTGAATAAAATAGCCTTCAAGTTCAATTCTACCCCCCGTCCGAAGCTCACTGGGATGCACTAGGTATCCTCTAGTCCCTTGCCAAACATTTAATAGTGTCACAGACATCAAAGCACTGTAACGACACGCTAAGCAGAACAGTGGCACTATGGAGAAGGAAACAAGACTCGTAGAAAAGGCATACCTAAACACAAGTCTCATGCTGAGCCCCAAAGCAAGTCCTTAAAACCCAGACTCTGCAACAGTTAACCAGAAGACAGAACGTAAGAGATGCAAAGGCAGCCATGCAAAATATACTTTACTGGTTTATTAAGTGTGTCTGTTGGCTAGTAATTAGAGTTATACAACGTGGGAGGTCTGCCTTCCAAAATTACATGCAATCTTGCATCATAAAGCCAACACATGCACCAGCATAACAGATCCAATCTGTGCCAATCATTGCACTAAACATTCATCTTCAATTGGAAGATAGACTTTATCAGTGAAACTGGACCTCAGTTTAATCGCTCTGCTTTTATTTTTCTTTCATAATAAAAGTATGCTGATGTAGAGCCATTTCTTACAAGAATGCTCGAGTCCAGCTCCATGCCTAACTTTGCACAGCATGCTTATTATTCCTTCATCATCTACTTAGAGCATCCAGCAACTCTTCCAATTAGCCAGCAGGACAGGACACAAGGCAACGGCCCTGGTGCTGCTTTTTCATGCTCTCCACGCGCAACAGCACGCCGAAACGCCATGCAAGGGGGGCAGGCAGCAGGCACAGAAAAGAGAAACGAACCCCCAAAGGGGAGAGCTCGAAACATCCACGGTGACAACGTAACTCCGGTCAGCGGGAAAAGTGGGGCTGGGTTTCCCTATTGCATGGGAGCGGGGGCTGCTCCGCAAGCCTCGCTCAGCAGCAGTAGCCGCTGCAGCCGCAGCAGGCACAGCCCCCGTGCGTCCTCGTGCACCCTGCATGCAGGGGAGCAGCGCCAGTGCTCCTGTCCGAGCCCGTGCCCAAAGCTCCGGGAGCACTGGGGCCGGCCGCCACTGCAGAGCTGTTTCTGCAGAAGGAATTTGAGGCTTTCGCTGCTTTTACAAGGAAAGCTGAATGGTTTCATCCCAGCACTGGAGCAAAAGGTGCAAAGGAGCAAAAGGACTGGAACAAAAGAGGAGACTTCTAAGGTGATTTTGGAGAAACACCAAATTTCCAAAATACAGAGATCACTGTTTTAGCCTCATTTGTGCTTCAGTTCTAAGAGAACCACTGCAGGGTTTGCCACACTTAGTGGCACGGGAATGTACAGATTGAGAATTGGTATTAAACACACATGAAAGAATTTTTTTTATTTTTTAAACAGATAGAAGCACTATTGTTCGGAAGGAATCCAGTCTCCTTCCTGGAATTTCTTTTTTCTGTTGCTTATCAAAATATTTGTTTTTGTGTTTGATCTGTGGTCACGGCTACTCAGGAGAGGAGGCGATAGGGTGATGTGGACAGCAAACATATACCATTTTCAAGAAAAGGAGATTAAAAAGAAAAAAGTATCAGTAGTTTGGGAAAAGATAATAAAATGAGATAGAAATTAAAAGGTATAAACAACCCAAGTCCCTGTATCATGAAGAGCAAAAGCTCTGATTCCTTTCTCTTTATGCAGCTCATCTTGAAAGAAGCCCTTAGAAACTTGATCTGAGCAGCTCAGCAGCGAAATACTTTGGCCGGCTCTTGAAAATAAGGAAGAAGAAATGCAAAAACCTGGATTAATATCATACAATTAGAAATGAGGCACACAGACATGGAAATGGCAAGTCATTTCCGACCAGAAGTCCCCATCACGTGAGCGTTCATTATTCTGCTTTCCGCCTTCACTGCAAATCTTGTAACTATTTACGCTGTTGCCCAAAATCAAAAAACAGAAGAAGTGCGAAAGCTTCCTAGCTAAAACTGCTAACTCTAGCATTTCACTTCCCCATTCAAGGGCTCATTCTACAATCTTTCCAGCTCCTGGGTTGCTTGCTTTGAACTCAGCCTGCCGTTATCCCACATCCTGGGACTGTGAATACTCCAGAGCGACCACTGCCCCCAGCTCCAGCACTAAAGTACGGCCACATGAGAAGGAATCTGACAAAAATGCCCCACTTAATCTAAGAGACGGGAAACTTTCAGAAGTTTATAAAGTAACATCAGTTATTAAACTAGTCAGTAAAATAAGCACGTATAGTCATTACGATATTTTCAAACACCGTGCAGCTTACAACTTTGAATGTCTCCTGTCTCTGCAGAGTGGGGACAGGCGTGGAGCTATGTTTCAGACCTCCTGCCCTGGAAGCGCAGGTAGCTCCTGTTCCTCAGGTCACTGCCCCTTTCACATACAGAAGCTTACACATTTTCTGCAGCGCATTTTCCTTCGGAGCATTTCTCTTCTTGTCTGTGATCAGATATGGAAATGACAGCAGATTCTCACTAGTTTGCACAGTGACTGGGAAACACCACTTAAATGGTAAATTTTAAAAGATTACTAGCAAAGACCTGCAATTTAAAACAAAAAGCAAACTGAGAAAAAAAAGAATTTTGACTTGGATGACGTATCCAGTATTGCATTACAGCTAACACCACAAAAGTAAAACCTTGACTAGTGTTTCTATGAGAAGGTCTCCAGTGGCTTTACTTCACCATTACCCCCATCTAACAACGACAGACAGCAAATCTAAGACTGACGCATTAGCAAACTGCTGAGCACAAGGCTTTATCACAGTCCTCTGGAACAGAACACGAATTTTCCTTCCAATATGGAACAAATTCCTATCTGCAGAAAGAGCTGAGGAACAGGTGGAATGGCAGAAGCTCAAGGACACATGACGCATGGATCTACTGAACAGCAGATTTGCTTTGAATGGCTCATTAACACATATGTTGTCGCACACGTTCTTTTCAAAGCACTATAAACAGCCTCACGTGAGGTTTTGAAAAATAGGATTTCTAGGATCTGTTTTTAACTGTGAAAATGGGAGCTTTTCCCAACCCCAAATTAAGCAACTAAAGGGAGAAACTACGTGTCAGGTGGATGTTTGGAACCCTGAGGAGTCACCAGGATACATACCCTCCAGCTGCAGGTCTAAATATTCTGAGCAATACCCACAGCAAGAGAGAAAGGCAGCAAGAGAGGCAGAAATGGAAAGAAAGCAAAGAAAGGAAGAAAAAGAACACAGTAAAGATTGCTGCAAAAATAGACAAAAGAATTAACTTTGCAGTCTCATCCTAAAATGGTGATGCCTCTAGCAGGAATATGAAGGAACATATTAAAGGCTATTTCAGAGGGTACAATTGCTGAACACTGGATTTTGGCCCCAATGGACATTCGAGGTAGGCATCAAAAATAAAAACCAGTTATTAAAAGCTCAATTTGGACTTGCACAACCAAACCTACCTTTGGTTTACTTCCTCCTCTTCTATTTTACTTCGTTCTGCAGGGCTGCTTGGTTTTGAGCCTCTGTTTTCTAGCTCCTAGCAGCTGTTTGCTGCGGCATTTTGGCTTGCCAAGCAGCTCGCGCTGACTACCAAAAAAGGTCACCTAACCACAACACACTAAAACATAAATATCTGTTCCTGACTTAGAAGCATAAAACACAGGGACTCCCAACTAGTAAAATCACAATTCAAATATTCATAAGGAATATAAGGAAAAATCCAAACACGCTAACTCTGTGTAAAATTTCTGGATGTGCCAAAATAAACTAGAAGTTTGCTGTTTTCAAAAGCAACTGCAGCTCACAAGTAATAAGGGTATGACAGATCAGAAGGGCACAATTCTAACCAGACTGCTTAATAACCAGAAGTTAACAAGTTTCAGTATTTATCTTATTCTGGTATCTTGCAATTTTATAATTTGTTTATAACGTTCTACTTTGACAATAAGGGAAAAAATGATAATTTGAATCGTTTAAATTCTCCTCCTGTGGGACTGCCCTGACTCCATGTCAGGCTTTGTATACCCATCATTGGAGGCTCTGCAGGAATTTTCTATGGGATCCGGCCCTGCGGGATCCGGCCCTGCAATCCCTGTGGGATCCAGCCCTGCGGGATCCAGCCCTGCAGTCCCTATGGGATCCGGCCCTGGCCCATGAGCCCAGCCGGATCTACAGCTAGTCAGCTTGATGCTCCTGAAACCTGTGTCAGTGACTAAATTAAGTCATGTGTGCTTCTTATAACAAACCTATTGTAAGTATTTTATCATAATGAGACAAGAAGAGCTGCAGGACATCTTTGCACAGGACATTCTGAACCATGGTGGAGAACAGCAGGAGCAGGAACACGTTAATCCCTAGAGATGCAGCCGAGACCCAGGACACAGCGCTACCCCACGCGAGCGATGCCCTTCGCACCTCGTGAAAACGGCCTTCTCGTTCTTGGCATCCATCGTCAGCTTGATGGTCTCCTGGCCCGAGCCTGTGCTGATGGTTTCCGTGACGGTGTCAGCTTTGTCGTCCTCTTCGTCGCTGTCCGAGCCTCCCGAGGAGCTGCTGTCGGAAGCCACGAGCGGCGCTTTCCTGGTGACGCACACGTTCCAGACGCACGGAGACGCAGCACTGGCTGGAGAGAGGGAAAGTCACGTTGCAACAGGAACAAAACCTGCGCATGGCTCCGTGGGGACAAGCTCAGAAAGTCGGGCCGTAGCAAATGGAAGGCTGAGAATTACAGCAAGATTCGAGATAACGGGTTTTGCGCAGATCCCACAGCACGCTGCATTGCTTTTTAAATGATCAAACAAAAAGAAACAATAAAATCTCTTTTCCTGTGTCAGGAAAGCCCCAACACAGGGGCAGATGGGCAGAGCAGACTCTTCCCTTCACCTCTTGCCAAGCCATGGTTACCCCAGAGGGAAGATTAAGGTGGTCCCTGACACCTCTGTTGACTACAGCTGCTCTGGGAATGCGTTATTAAAACCAAAGCAGCTTTTCCTTTTAAGCTCTTTGTGGTTTGTCATTCCACGTGCGTTGCTGCCAAGAGCTGAAGTGCTGCAGCCTTAGAACTGAACCATGGACTTAGCTGGGAGATTACGCTGGAACATGAAGGTATGCAAGGAAGGCAGTGTGTATCCATAGGGTGCTACCCATCTCTCAGCTTTCACTACAGTTAGAAGTTTAATTTAGTTGCTCAAAAAAAATATTATCAAGCATACGGCTAAAAACAGCACTTTCAAACAGTTTACGAAGGAATTGTCTCCATGAAATCAACACTTTCCATCTTGAATTGAATACTGTGGGACAGGATTATCCGTCCAAAACCTTCAGGATTTCTGAGTATGATTTTAATGGACTGAACTGGGTACAGAGGAGCTCCTGCAAGCAAGGGAAGGCAGGCAGCACTGGAGGGACGCTCGCCCCTGCAGGCCTGGCGTGCATTACTTCAAGCAGTTTAAATTATATTTATTATATTTATTTATATATATCTGTTCTGTCTTGTAACATTCTCACTTACAGTTCTTGTCCTGACTCTGCTTTGGGTTTCCATCTGAATCGCTGCTCTCTGTGTCCACAGGAGAACTGCATCGTGGACCCGATTCAGAGCTGAAGTAAGGGGGGAAAAAGCCTTGAGAATGAAGTGCAGGTACTCTGGTTGTTACTATTTCTTTTTCACTATTATCTTTAATTCTTTTAGTTTATTTCTTAACTTATTCTAAGCTTGCTGCCTAGCAGCAGTGGCAATACATACTGTATTCCTGTATCAAAAGACTAATGTCATTGAATGAAGCCCTGACAAAGAATATTCAGAACATAAAATAAAATGGGCAGCAGGGAAAATGGAAGGGGAAGAAAATAAGACTACAATCAATGAACTCCCTCAAATCCTATTTCAAATATTCTTTCACTCAAAAAATCACACGGAAATGCACTGAATTTATGCCTCTTTTACCAACAGAAAGGTTGGAAGTCTGTGAATTTTGCCCATCCTTTCTCCTCGGGCGCCGTGTTCTCGGGGGCGGCTGAATCCCACACGCTGGAGCCAACGTCCATGGCAACGCAGGGCGTCGGGGGCTTGGAGTTCACCGGCTCGAACACAGCAGTCCACCCAGAGCCTGCGGACACAACAAGCACACGGGAAGTCTTTCTTTCACAACCTTTGGCTTTTCCCAGCTTTTCCAGAGGGTGCATAGAAACGAAAAAAATAAAATAATAATAATAATAAAGACAATAAAAAGATAGGAATCTCATTAACCGTCTCTGAGGTTGCAGACAATCACCTTGCAAATTCTTTTTTGACAAATATTGTTATCCACAAGAAAGAAGTATTGATTAAGAAAAATGTCCTTAAGAATTTCTTTATTCTCTGAGCCAGAGAGTGTCAACTAGACTCTGTTTAAATACATTAACTTCTTGCCAAAAGTTAGGATGTGCCATTTTCAACCTTTTCAGACATTAACTGTTTAATTTTGGCAATTACAGGTAGAGAAATGATGGATTAAAATGTTTAAGATCACAGAAGTCATATGGAGAAAAATTTAGCATAAGATTTGGTTTTCAAGGCCCAGTCTATTGTTTATGTATTTATTAGAACGTTCCTATGGATCATAAATCTTTAAACAGCATTTTCAGGACCTTTTCTCAAGGAAGAGAATTTACTTGCATGGCAGAGGTCTTGATTGGCACATAACAAAGCTGAGGGTATGAGAGAGCCACCAAATCTGGACTCACTCAAGAACTGGGCCAAAGTTTGAGCCAAAATCTAAAGAGTGATTATGCTGATGTACAGTACACAGGTTGTCATTTGTATTTACTGTTTCTTCCTAGTGAGAACTGAAAATAATGACTTCTAAACAGCTGTAGAGAGCTGGTTACGAAAATAAATACGGTTTACGTTCATACCTACCACACAGAAACACCAGCTATATATATTAAAAATAAATAAATAAATAAATAAAATAAAAAAGTAAAATTGAAAATACTTGCACCAAAAGGAGGCATTACACCCCACAGAGAAGAAAAAGGCACTTTGGGGCAAACATTGTGGTCCCTTAGTTTCAGCTGTCCGAGCCAGCCCGGCTGGCAGTGCTGCAGTCTCGTGAATGTGCATTGCTGCTCAGGGAACAGCTCGACATCACACAGACTGACATCGGGCAAAAAGGCAGCAAAAAGCAGATATACAGGGTGTGGAGACACTTGGCAATGCATATAAGTTAATGTTGAAATCCTCCACTGATCTTTTGGGCTTTTTTTTTTTTTAAAAAAAAGCTTTTGTACTAAAGGAGCTAATAATATTGTGTCCGTGTGGTTGTCTAAGTACAACTGAAGCAGCACATCCCTGCAGAAGTTGCTGGGGAGGGCTCGGTCTCGCTCGTATTTCAGGAGCAAGCCATGAAATCCCTGCACTCCCTGTGCAGGTGCCATTGCGGAGCAGCCGGGGAACCCGGACAATGTGCAGGGGGGGACTAGAGTCCTCATCTGAAACGCGGCAAGGCCACGGTCATGTTTTACCTTCGGAAGAGCCGGAGTCTTTCTGCTCCGAGGTGCTGTTCTTGTTGGTGTTTGGCGAGGAAGGAGGCAACTGCTGCTGCGCTTCCTCCTCCTCCTCCGAGTCCACGCTGCCGTCGTGGTCGCCGTTCTCAAGGTCGCTTTTCGACGAGCTCTCCGAGGTCTGAGACGCTCCGAACCTGCTCAGCAGAAGGCAGAATTAGGAAGACCTTGTGCAGACCTTGTTCTTTATCATTTCTATAAACCAAGTGCTATTCATAATAGTATTAAATGTACTTTGTAAGAATCTAAAAGAAAAAAAAGCATTTTTCTTTGCAGACCTAGAGTCTAATTTAAACCAAAAACTCAACAGCAATACCACACTAAAATAAAAGGGAAAAAAATAGTGAAAATTACGATGAAAGAGAATGTAACACCCACAAAATCAGATATAAATATAGGCAGATGCCAGTAGGTACATCATATACGTTCTACTTGTTACTGAAGAAAAACATGAATACGGTATACTAATAATTTGAGTTACTCAAATTCACTTAATACAGTAAAAATAAACAAGATGAGAGGAAATACCCTTAAACAATATACATATGGTAAAGAAGAATATTCTCCTTTATACACGTCAAATGGAACCTGACTAAAACCCATAATTTTAAGGGCAATTCAGGGCAAGCAGAAGTTGGGAACTCATCGGCTGATGTCCGAATCCCTTTTTCCTGTCTGAAACCCTTTCCTCAAAACTTATAAAATGCAGAGAAGCCACAGCAGGTATTAAGTCTCCAAGAGCTTTGCTCATCAGAAGACATCTGCACAGGACTAATGGGAAACAGTCAGGACTGGAACTTGGTAAGACCAGACAAAATGGTGGCAAACAAAGGGAGTACTACTGCGATCAAAACAAAATGCTAATAAAATGTGTATTAGTAAAACATCAGTTTACTGATATTAGGCAAATAAATGTTAAGGTGTTGACCTTTGTTTCTTGCATCATGTATTCATATTTTAGATTTGCAGTTATAGAAATAACTTTTTTTAAATAACCAACTATATCAAAGAGTTGAAAAATATCCAATGATTGGCAATGCCAGAGATGTACCATGGCAGATCATTAAGTGCCATGAAAACATACTTTTCTTGGCTGGACTTTTTGGAAAAGTCTCTTCTATCTCCTGACTGCAGTCTTATAGCCTTCTCAGTCTCCTCCTCTTCAAACATGAGGAAAGAATAAGTCCGAAGGTTTTCAAACTAAGCTTTTTTTTTGATATTATTGATAATAGACTCAACAAACTGGTGCTTTCGTCATACTGCAACCTTTTCTCACATTCAAGATAGTTTTTTCTTTTTTCACAAATGTGACGTGTAAAACTATTTTATGCAAGAAACAGACTTCAGAGAACACAATTAACAAATAAATTAACAATTAACTGAAATTTAGCTTCACAGAATTCAGAAGGCAAAAAAAGACTTTTTGTTTTCATCTTACCTTGTCCTTGATTCATCTTACCTTGTCCTTGATTTAACTTGGGTTGCATAGGTTATCTCCTTCTCTTCCCAGATATCTTCCTCCTCCTCATTATCATCAAACTGTTGGATCCGCTCATTGCAACAGGCTTCGAAGAGGGAAGCGTTGGGCTAAAAGAATATCAAAAAGAAATCAAGTCCACTTGCGTTTTGGAGACGTGAATTTTGTTGATGAGCAAGTTCCCAAGCAGCCTTTGTACACAACTAATGCCACGAAGGAGTCTGCATTTATTTCATTCTTCATAAGTGAAGAAATAAGGAGTGTCCAGATGTGGAAGAGGAAAAAGAGAAGAATAAAAGGCTTGGCATGCTGCAAAGGAGGAAAGCCCTCGCAGGGCAGGGACACCGCAGAGCAGCGGCCGGGCCTGCCCTGCCTCGCACAGGCCGCACTGCTGCGGGCTCCTCCATTACCTGAGTCTTCCTGCATCACTCAAGGGGCTGAGGACGCCACTATGGGGGCTAAAAGAGAAAAAACCTTCATCTTTCAGAGGGAACATCAGGCTGGGGAAGGTGGCGATGCCAGAAGGTGCCTCGGTGCTGCCAGGCCCCAAGGCCAGGGCTCCTGGTGCTGCATTCCCCACAAATATGGAGAGTTTAAGCACACATAGCGCTTCACTCACGCACAAACACACCCTTCAAAACATACTACCTTCCTTCCCCAAAAATTACAGTTTTTCAGACATTGGGAGAGTGAGTTATCCCTGTAAAAACCAAAATCTTCTGCCCGCCTGGGTGTTCTGGAATGTGGGAATTAGGAAAATCTGGAATGTGTGATTAGGAAAGTCATTAGGAAATGATTTCAAAGTGATGCACGGGGCAGGCCGACAGCTGCCGTGCGATTCCAACAGACACAAAAACTGTCCAGGCAGGAAAAAATAAGTTAATATAGGCAAATAAATAGCTATTTGTGGCTTAGCTGGTCACTTCAAAAAGGAGACAGTTTTTCTGTATATATAAAGCACAGTCTAGAGCAGCAGAAAGAAGGAGGAAACCTTTCCATAGAAGTGTTTAAGTGAAAAGGAGCATTTTTAAGCTAAGGAAATCTAAGTTTCAATATTGACTACACAACTTTCAGTCCAGAGATGAGTCTGGGATCACATCGTTTAAGCCATTAACCATCTTCTTCAATAGGCAGTGATTGATGTCAGTAAAATAAAAATGGACAAGATACGACATGACAATATATAGACCCAGGGGAAAAAAACCAAACAAAAAACCCCACTGTTGAGCTACTTTTATTTTTCCCTAGTTTCCCTAGTGCGTGGCAAGATTACCAAAATGAAAATAACAGCAATAGATTCACACTGCAGAGAGAGAGAATAGTTTCCTCCAGTGCAAAGAGCAAAATTTTCGAAGCTCTGGCCAAAGCAATAAAATGCAAGGAGTCATTTAATGCTCCAAATTCTTTAACTGGACTCGAGCATTAGGGCCTCTTTTTATTTGCTAAATATTTGCTTTCTTTCAAGACCACTCCAGCTGATTCAAGCATTAGCTAACTTGACAGAATCCATCCTATTAAATAAATACCCCAAAATACCCACTTACACTGTCATCGTCTGCATCTATATTGAAGTTTATCTCTGCAATCCTGTCAAAAGGAGCACTGCAAAAAGAAGGGAAAGAAAATTCAGTGAGGGCACGGAGTAGAAAACAGCAATTTGCAGCCTCAATGCTGGACCAAAGGACAGCGAACCACAAAGACACTTCACATGATCGCTCAACATCTGCTGCATTTGTTCTCTGAACATTCACTGCTCTGTTCAGCGCAATGGTTTCCTCTCCTTCAAATGAAAGGGCAATTATTTCATATTTTTTTAATATTTAAAAATGTAGGGGTTTCATTCTTACATTCAATATCTTAAGATTTTTAGCATTATCTTATTCACAAGATACTTTGAGCCTTCAAGGCAACGACTGGTTGTCATTTTGCAACTCGTATAGTACTCGGGCAATATATGGGCTATCTGCAAATTTTTCAGTGAGCCTCTTCAAGCAGAATCAAAGTTTACGCAAAATAAATAAATAAAGATAAGTCATAATTAACTAAAAATAGAAAATACTCAAAGTTGCGTCACAAAGTTGCATCTGAAATTCCCTCCCTGTGCTCAGCTATGAAATCCATTCAGTTCCTCAGAATGAGACAAGATCCAGAGACAGAAATCCTGCACACTGAACATATATGCTGGATGGACAAAAATGGCCTTTTTTTTTTTCCCTCTCTCCTCACAAAATTCCAATATGCTTAGGAAATCTTAGTGTGCATACTGGCTGCACAGCCCTGACACGTTATTGACTTGCAATAGCTGCAAAAACCACGAAATAACAACTTCTCATCTGAATATAAGTTTTTCTGTTCTAAGAACAGCAGAGGGTGCTGCAGGGCAAAAAGCAGCAGCTTATTTTATGAATGAATCCAGAGACTCCTAACTTTGGAAAGAATTATTTTCCTTTAAAGAAGATTGTTTAGTTAGCAAAAAGAGGAAAAAAAAAAGAAAAATTTAAATCACTCGGACATGAAGCACAATTAGTACTTAAAATACTAAACATTGTATTTTTCATAGTTTTCATCAGAAAAAAAAAATCAAACAGCCCCAGTTTCAGGATGTTCTGCACCATGGTATTTTGCAAGAACCTCTGTTTTCTAGTCATCATACAGACAAGGATGGCACATCTCAGTTGCAGGTTTTTCTCAGTTTCACCCTCATTTTTACTATGCACACTGGGTGCGTATATACACATCCTCAGTAGCTTCTTAATAAGGTTTCTTTCCATTTATCTGCATGCACACGCAAGTTTAATATTTCGTGCTATCTCACAGTAAGCTAACACTCTATATTTTTAATGTGTAGAACTAATTCACACTCAGTTAAACTTTCCTGTTAGTCTGAAAGGTAAAAACAAAATAAACGAACAAAACGAAACCCAGGAAAGCTGGACCCCAACATCTTCCTCCCCATTAACATACAATCTTCAATTAGATGGCAACCACTTCAGTTGATTTTCTAGCACTCTAAGGAAGGATTTTAAGATTCCCAGAGGCACCAAACAGGAAGCATTCAGGACAAGGCTACTTGGTTTATGCTTAAAAACATCTCTGAAGCAGCCAACCTATTTCCAAGTGGTCATTTCATTCAACGTACTTCACAGAGTCCAAGAGTTGCTAAAATTATGGACCAAGAAGCAGCAAAAGGATCTTCAGTATATCAAATGTGGATCATTTTTGGCCCATAACCAAAGAGTGAGAGCTACTTGGCATGTAGTTTTCTGGGCTAGAGATTCCTATTTTAATCCGAATTGGAGGGCATGAGGAATCTGGAGCATTTGCTGATCCCTCAAGATCTGCTGGCTTGTGTGTGTCACCTCTGAGGATGTAAATTAGAGCAGGTGTCACCTTGGGTGACAAACCCTTCTCTTGACTGTGACAAACTGCCACGAGAGGAAAGAGAACAGGGTAAAACAACAACCAGAAACCACACAGAGCCTGAGCAACATCCTGCAGCTCTTTTCTGACAGTAGAGGTAACACTGAACAGCTGTGTCTGAACTCCTACAGACAAGCAGGTTTTGGCCATTTCCCTTAATCACAATTTTTGAGGTGAGATGAGGTGTAGTTTTAATTAGATTACAGCAGCTCTTCTATAAAAACATCACTTTTGAACACTGAATTCAGCAGGTTACTTACCATTAAATCCATCCATACCTTCCCTCTTTTAACTATGATTTAGGCCAGGGTTATCTATGTTTCCTTATTCATAAGACAGAAGGGTTGAATTTTCTGTGGACTTCATCAGAACATTATTCTCCATCTTTCTCCTCCTAATTTAAGTAAGGACTTGATTGTATTGGACAGAAGATGTATAATTGCCTGGAGTGAGCTTGAATGCTTTGTGTTCTGTACAAACACATGCATTCCAGAATGTAGATTTGCGTTTTTTATTAAAAATGTTTCTCTTCAAAATGAAGAGCTTTTCCTTAGTTCAACAGCTGCCATAGAAGATCAGGTATATAACCTTGCAAAAGAAATCACTGTGGAAAAAAAAGATCAAGTGCTTCCCAAGACATTGATTAGCCTTTTTTTGTTGTTTTTCCCTCAAGCCAAAGAAGAAACACTGAGCTTTATTTTACACCTGAACCAGAAGAAGAATGATTATTTACAAATAGACTTAAATCCTTAAACTTACTTGATATTATCATCCTGGTCTGCAAACTCCTCATCATTAAAGCCAAACTGATCCACAAAATTTGCTGTCATCTGCTGGATCTGGTACTCTGAGAAGGCCTGAATAACAGAACCCAAAAAGTGCCATCATAAAAGTGTCCAAAAAATATCCAGTTCAGCTTTGCTGAAAACAGGTAAGGAGGCATTAAACTTCCTATCAAGGAAGGCATTAAACTTCCTTCTAAGGAGGCATTAAACTCACAACTAACTGAGGAACTTTGAGAAAGCACCTAGTCCAAACATCATTTTCAAGGCAGGATCAATCAGACTTCTCCAAGTCTTGGACAGATGCTTCCCTCATCTGCTCTAAATTTTTTTTTTTCCAATGACAGTTATGAAATTTTTCTAGAAAATAATTAGTCTGCTTCATTGTTCTACTAAAATACCATTTTGTTTTTGTTTTTTTTTCATTTGTTTTTTTTCTCCAATATAACGTGAAATCTGCTCTATTACCACTTAACCCCATTATGGACACCAAGAAGGTATTTTTCACTTTCTCTATATCCCTCCTGTTTGAGGAATGAGGTCTACGTCTCCAAATAATCTTTGTTTCTCTTAGCTAAACGGCCCTGGTAAATGGTACTTTAATTTTTCTATGTATGTCCTGTTCTATACCTCTGTCTACAACTGCATGCTTGCTAAGCAAGCTAGAAGAATTACTCCCTGGGTCGTTGAGAGCACAGTGTTTGTTCTCCCCCTTGGGAACTTGGGGTCTGGCACCCCAAGCACTGCTGGCACCCCAGCATTATTGCCCAGGCAAATTTTAGGAGACATTCAAGCCCAGCTCAGAGACTAGACTGGACTCTGCTACCTAAGGAGATATACCGAAAAAAAATCATGAGCTGAGCAGACTAAGAGTAAAACCAGGAAGCTGATCTACAGAAGGAAGGATTAAGGGTGAATCCCAGGAGCAGCAAAGCACACATTGTTGGCTCACCTGCTGCAGAGAGAGTTCATTGGGAAAAGCACTCTCGATGTCTTCATCCTCGCTGGAAGAGTGCAGATGATGAGTGCTCACCTGGGGTACAAAACGTAAGCATAAGGGCAAGCCAAGCAAGCTCCGAGTGAACAAGCCAGGAACGTGGATTAGACTTTCCCAAAATGGATCAGGAACACTGTTGCTTCGAGAACGACTATGAAACATGTTCTGTACTAACGCTCTAAGCAAAAGTAGGAAATGTCCATCAATACCACTACTATTTTCTATTAAGGAAAATTTAGAAAATAACAGGCCTGATGAGAAAAATCTGAAAAATGCTAAATATCATTCTTCTTACCAAATCCACTGTATTCCTCCTGTTCGTTTCCGTCAGTGTCTCTTCTACAAAACTCTCCCATCTCCCTCTGCAATCTTCAGGTAGCTCTGTAATGGAAAGGTCACCATCAAAATGGTCGTATTTTGAGAAAAGCTCAGGGTTAGTCTAGACAGTCATTAGCCCCATTGTCTCCACTGTGTTAGGAACAGTAGCTTCATCAAGGGCTTTGGTTTTGGGACTATCTGATCCTTAATGAACAGGGTGAACTCCTTCTACAACACATTTAATAGAATATTACCAAAACACACTGAGCTTGCCTGAATATCTCAGCTGACTGCACTGGCTATTTGAAGTCTTTGGGCAGGCGCATATACCTGCACATGAACTAACTAAAGCAGGTGTTGAACGAACTACATTTTATCTGTGACTCTCTAAAAATGGCAAATCCTGCAGAAAAGGGAAAATCTTTCATTAGGCAACCCACTTAGATACTGCTCTTAGCCGTTTCAACTCACTGTGCAGTTATAGCAGGCTAAAGATAAAGAAATCTACAGCAATTTCCTGAAAATCACCAAATAGGGGAGCTAAGCTCTCTACTTTTGAACTTTTGAAAACTTGAAAAGTTGAAAAAGTTGAACTTTTTTTTCCCCCTTTTTCTTTTCATCCATAGTGATATAATGGAGAGAAACAGTTATGGTTGGGGAACCTTTCAGTCTTTCCCAAGACATTTGTTCCTTCTCCACGTTAACGCATAAATGACAACAGACCAAGTCACTCCAGCTACTATTTGATCTATTCCTTAGAAACAAGAAAAGGAAACTGAGTCACATCTGTGGCCGTTTTGCCTTAACAGACGACAAGAGAAAATCTCATCTCCTCTCACACAAAACTTGTGTGAGAAAACTGGTTGTCACAATAAAACTTGTGTCTCCTCCTCTCAAAGAGGTGTGACAATGAACAATTATATGAGGCACCACTTATAAACACTAACCCAGAATGCTCTAAATAAACACTACAGATGTACGTGCAAATCCTGATGAAAAAAGAAGTATTCTTTAGGAGAAAAAGGATAAAATCAGCCTCTGCTTAGGGGGAGGAAAGAAAAAAACAGTTCAACGGGACTGTGTGCTAACAAAGATCAGCAGAATTTGGTCTAAATACGTTTTTAAGATAAGGGAATTTGCGATATTCAGTCATTTTCATCGTAAAAGAAAGTCTCATGGAATGTAAGGTGCTGAAAGTATTCCTAAAAGATCTGCAAAATTTCGTTAATCAAAGAAAAAAAGTAGAGTAGGAAAGGAGCTTTATATATATATAAATGTGCATACCTTTATAGCTCTATGTATACCTCTATATATGTATACTTGGAATAAATTCACATAAATAAAGACGAATAAAGGATACCTTTAATAAATTCGCTGATTTGCGTTTGCATGGGGCCCTTCTCCATGTTCTGCACGACGGCGTTGGCTATCCGGGTGAGGTGGCCCATGTTCCCGCGCCGCATCCCTCCTTCCGCCCTGCGCGCAGAGAGGAGCAGGGGCAGTGAGCGGAGGCCGGGGAGGCCGGGTCTGCAAAGCCCCACGCGGCAGGACACGGGTGGCACCCATGGGACCGCTCTCCGTCCCTGCCGCCCGGCCAAGGGGTCACCTGCAGCACGAATCCTGCTGCATTTTTGCATGCACGGGAGCGAGGACACCACTCATCCAGGTATTCCCTATAAGGGCCTTAACTCTTAAGCTATGCAGGTACCATCAAAGATTAGCTGGAAATAGGTTTAGATGGAAATAAACAATCCCGTTATAATTTCCACTAAAGGAAGCATGCAACAAGAAGAATTTAAACCACTGCTACAGAAAAAGCTATAGTTCTACTTGCAATTGAAATACTTAGCAGTGAATATGAGTGGAGAAAAGAGATTAATGCAAAACCATTGGATTTTTCCCTTATAAATAAGATCAGAGGGCAGAAGTAAGTGAAAGCAGTCACAGAGGCACTTCTCTTTGGCTCTCCACCGCGTCTCCTTCACCAGAGGCATGGTCACTGTAATATTATGTACTCTAAAGCGTCCCAAATACTGAAGTCTCATTCACAAAGCTCTACTGCTTGATGGAGCACAAGGAGGACACAAGATTGACCCACCCACTAATGCAACTGGTGGGTCAGAATCGAAGCAAAGGGGGAAAACAACCCTCCCAAATTGAATCACAGAAGTTTCCTCCTAACGTTACCCGGTGTCTGGTGTCAAATGCAGCTTTTTCTCGCAGATACCACCAGGCTCAACACACACGAGGCCTCGCTTTCCCTTGCGGGAAGGGCAAGGCTGCAACGTGAGAAGAGCAGCGTCAACCTGGGGCTCTGCCCTGCTCAGATTCACCCTTCCCTTCGCCGCTCTGGGCACCTGCGGGAGATGCCACTCACACGAAGCAGGACGAACACTAATGTCCCTGTGTCCTGGGTCCTTTAATAGGGTGGCACTTGAGCCACCCCTCGTCTTAGACACAATTAACACCCATAACGAGCTCCAGTGCCAAGGCAGAGCTTTTTACCCAAAGCCCTGTGGGTTTGGACGCTCCCATGACGGGACAGCCAACGTGCAGAAGGAGCTTAGCTCAACACCTGCTTGACGCTCTTTATCGACCACACCACAAATGGAGGTTCTGCTTGCAATGAATGAGGCTGCAAATAAAGATGTGCTGCAGGCAGCCTTGTGAAATGTCATTTACTACGAACCCAGACTGACGGCCACGCTTTGGTTATTTAAAATTCTAATTCCCTAGGCAGATCAAAAGGAGTGAGATTAAAGAATATGTTGGCTACCTAGAAGATAAGCTCTGGTACTTACAAAGTCCTGCATGACAAACATACAGAGTATCTAAAACCGGGAGAACTCAAAGAGAAATTTCTTGTGCCAGCAGGAAAATATATTTCCAGAATCATCTTTGCTGCTTTTTAAAATCCTTGAATCTTAAATTCTTGAATCTTTTACTGTGGGGCTCCTAGTGCCTCCCCCATCTCCTCATTTAGTGCACACTGCAACCCCCATAGAACCTCACACTTCCTAAAGCACACCCCCTGAGACACCTCTCTCGTAGCTAAAATACATATATTTCTAGACATTAAAATGCTTTTGTATTTGGACCATGTGATGACATTAAATATGTCTGCACTTCAGTTCCTATCTAATTAAACTGAGAAAAATTTTACATGGGAAGCATAATGTTTCTTACCTACAAAACGGTGCCCATAGTTGTGCAACAAAACTATCCATAAAATTTGTTATCATCAGCCCAAAAGATAAGTAAAAAATATATATATAAATATAGCCTAAAATATAGATTTATGTTAAAACACTATGTAAAATGGATTAAGAATGCAAGAGAGAAGCTTATTGTGCATTTGAACGATTGAATTGAAACATTAAATATATTTTTTTCCATGCTTGGGAGTATTTTAATTATATTTCAGTTTGATAACTTTGTTTTTTAACAAGTAAACAGTCCAAATGATTTTAGACACCTTTAAACTGTAAATTAATCAAATAAAGAAAATTTTCAAGGAAATATTCAAAATCGGCAGCCCTAGAATATAGCACGCTGTACCCAAATCCCTTACTGTATTTTGTCATTGGCTTCCCAGGCATCCAATATCCTTTGCACTAGGCAGCATTTCTGGAACAGCTAGAGAAAAAACGAGAGAGAAAAAGAACATTTCAACAGTTTGCCAAGGAAAGACTCATCCTAGAAGGCCTGCCCTGAACTACGGTTACTGCTCTTCACTCCTTCACTCCCACTGAAGGAAACCTTAAGCTCAGCCTTTGAGCTGCTTTCCCAAAATCTTTCTCAAAGGATCCACGGAAAACAGCAACACTTTCAAACACCCTCAGTCTGCTCCACGCAAAAGATGATGTGATTTTACAAAAACTACAAAAACTTTTCATTGTGAGGTCCTCAATGCAGGAAATACCCGATTGCGGTTATTATGAGACCTGGTTGTATGTTTCTTTGGTAATTGCATGAAAAATAATGAATATTCAAGAGCAAAAATACTTCCACCCAGAACTGGAAGAACAAAGTAATGTCTCTAGACAGTTTTTAAATAAATTTCATTCTTCCACAGGTTTTAAATAAATTCCATTCTTCTGACCAGCTTGTCACAGAACTTTCTCAGGTGACACGACCAAACTTACATGAGTCACCATGATGTTTTCGGGGTTGTTCTCTGGAGTCTCCAGGCTCTCTGTGGCCGCATTTCCATTCACCACCTCTTCCTTGCCCTCTGCGTCATTAGTAGTAGTTTTTCCCTCTTGTACAGAGTGCGAGAGAATAGCTGCTATGGACAATTCCACTTGGAAATGCAAAAAGTTATTCCACGTGTATTTAAAAAATAAGTCCTGAAACAAAAGGAGAAGCAGAAAAATATCCACTCTATGACACAGTTTCCCATTTGTGACAACCAGACGAAATAAAACCACAGCCCCATTAACTGATTAATGAACGACTGCACTGAGACAATTCAGCACATTGGTAATACTCTGACAGATGCACAGAGCTCACAGCATGGACACCTTAAATAAATATATTACCTATTCTGTGGTTGCTTTAGTTAGGTGAAAGCTATTAACTAAATCATATACAAGTACCAAAATAGGAATTTTCAGAACTGTCCTGATTATAGTGGCAGTTCCCAGGACATGTCCTTGTTCACAGACAGATGTGCACTCCTTACTGTAAGCCCTGAGTCCACAACACATCTCAGTGTTACTGGGGGCTCCCTCAATAACAGGACTCTTTGCATACACACAATTAAGCTACTGGAACAATAAATCTGAAGCATGAGCTTCACTTCAACACACTAAGCAACTGTGATTGTACTACAAAAGCTATTTTCAGGCTGGATGTTCCCGCTTTCAGCATTTTAGGGACATAATTAGGTGCTGGCACACATGAAATATACTCCTTTGCACTGAAAAGCTCAAAGAAAAAGGAAGCGATTCCCAGTTTACAGCTACACCCCCTTTCACAGTATCTCACACTACATTACTCACAAGTAATAAGTTCATGGTACTGAGTCTGCATAGTTCCTGATTAATACTGGGAGTGTTTGTGTGAAGCAGAGCAGCTATTAGCCGAGATCCGTGAAGACGAGCGTTCCCCAACGGCTCCTCCAAGACCCCAATTGTAGTCAGGATTGCTGTTTTCTGCCAAAGAAACAGATAGCGAGGCCTCAGCAAGGTCAACTAGACAACTTGTGCACTCCCACACACCACCATCCCCAGGAGGTAAAACCCAGTCCTCTCACCCCAGGCAGCGCTGGCCAACGCTGCTACAATCACAGCATTGATGTTGGAGGGACCACAGGTTGAGGTTGGAAGGGACCTCTAGAGATCATCTAGGCTAACCTTCCTGCTCCAGCGGGCACACCCAGAGCACAGGGTGGCATCCAGGTGGGTTTGGAGACCTCCAGAGAAGGAGACTCCCCAGCCTCCCTGGGCAGCCTGGGCCAGGGCTCTGGCACCCTCACAGTCAAGAAGTTCCTCCTCACATGGAGATGGAGCTGCCTGTGTTTTAACTTATACCATTTCCCCTTGAATGGGAACAATGGGCTGCACTTCCAAAATTGAAGACTGAAGTCAAAACATCCCTTAGGCCTAACTAAAAGTTCCTGCTGCTTCCTTCCCCAAGCATCTTTACACAAGCTTGGCTGGTTTCTTGTGCTTGCTCCCAAGTCCTTCTTGCTTCCTAAACTCTTGATTCACAGGCACCAAGCAACGACTTTTCTTTGGGGATATAGAGTTTTGCCCATTATATATGTATGGGAAATATCCAGGAACCCTCTGCATGAAGAAAGAGAAGGCTTAGAGGCAGGTGAGCCGCCCTTTTGCTCCTGGGAAAGGTGGAGATGCTTTACCTTGGGAGGGCTGAGCAGCAGCTGGTGGAAATCCTTTAGCCTTGGTTCAATGCCATATAAAATGCTGCTATTGACAGTGTAAGACCTTTCAAATCCCTGAGTGTATGAGTCCATCAGTCCTTCCACTCTGCAAAGGAAAGCACAACAGTCAAGACTGACAAAATCTCAAAACGCTGGTCACACACACTGCTCATGTTAGTCATTTTTTCTTGGAAAATAACTAAATATGAAAAATAATCATTGTCAGACACTACAGATATTTATGCAAGTATTATATTATTTGCAAGATTATATTTACATAATCTAAAAAAGGAATTAGAGGGAGAAGATGGAATAAACTGCTTGCACAGCTGAGTGAAAATAGCAAAGACGTTACTGAAGTTCCTTGGGGCTTTGAAAGCCACACAAATAACCAAGGAGCAAGCTGCACCAGTGAGTGCTCGTGTTCCTAAGTGCTCTTGCTAGCAAAGACTTACCCAGAGCGCCGCGTTTCCAGCAGGGTTAGAAGAACCTGGGTTCCATTCACTATGCAATTTTCAGTCTGCTCTCCATCAAACATGTTCTTCAGGAGCTGCTCCACACATTCCTGCCTATTGATCAACACAGACACATAAAATTTGCAATGTTTTGCAGCTGCTTTAAGCACAGACAAGTCTTTTCTGGTGAAAATAAAGCTTGTATTTTTTTTCCCTCCTTTCCTGAAAGTCTCCTATGACAAGACTGGAATGAGACCAGGTTAGGAACCTGCTTCCTCATCACTAAGGCAATATTGAGTTATAAAAACAAAGATTCCAACCCAAGAAGTGACTCTCTCACATCTACAGGGTGTGCCTCTTCATTACAGATTGAAGACAATGTAAGGGTTAACTTGGACTATTCAATTTTTTTGAAGTCGATATAAAGCTATTAATTCATAATCCAAAATTATCCATCAGGATCCCAAGAAAAAAAAAGGTAATAAACATAGGATGAGCCTTATCTTTGCCACTGGCATTATAAGACACAGGAGCTAGAAATAGGAGCCAACAAATGTGTAATTTTGTGTTTGCAATTTTTGAATTATGTGAATTATATGTAAATTTTGTAAACTATACGTAAATTTTGAATTATATGAAAAATGTGTAATTTTTGAATTGTAAATAATATGTATTTATTTGGCAGTCCCGGCAAAGTTTTAACTGATTCACCATCTCTTTGAGGCTTAACCAAGACAAGATGCCTTCCCCAAAGTGATAGGTTTGGGCAGGAGAGGGAAGTTTTGGAGACCAACAGAGTCAGAACAAATAACGATACCGGTCCTTTCTTAGCATTAAAACCAGCTTTGACACTCAGACCCCTAGAAGTTATCAATAAACTGAGGCCACGTGGGCAGAGCAAAACTGTGCAGGTCACAGCAACTTCTGCTACTTCCTAATTGAAAAAAATCGCATTTATAGGGGAATAAATAAAATATGAGCTAAAATGTGAAAACACATGAATAAAAAAGGAGACTCAATTATTTTAATAAGCAGCATCTAAATACAGACGCTCAGCTTAAAAGGCAGCGTCAGGAAAAGAGACGAGCTTACAGTGACCAACTAAGCTCACTCTGTGGCACCCAAGCTGATCTGCGAAACTGCTCTAGATGCTTTAGGCAGTACCAAAAACCAGGATTTGATATTTACTCTGTAAGCCTGGTCTTGGCTCCTTCCTGCAGCATGTATGGATCATTAATTTGTGATTCACAGACCAAAATGTCAATTTAAAATAAATAAATGTTTAGCAGTGCTACCCAGAAGAATACCCAGAAGAACCGGATGAGAAAAGCAATGAGATGTACAACACCTACAGATCCCAGAGAGATCAGGAGTACAAGAAACCACTTTTGTTGCAGTTTTTCTTATGAACAGTGAAGTTATTTATCAATTGTAGAGTGCTTCTTGGAAGTATACGAAGATAAGTTTGATTTATCCCATGGGCGTTACAGGTAGTGCCTGGAGAGTGACAACGGGGGAAGTTGGGGAAGGCTGGAGAGGGCCAGAAGAGGAGGAAGGAAGAAGCTAAGGAGCAGTAAAACACGAGCCAAGCATCAGAGCTCCGCTTTGTAGAGCTCTCTCAAGGCCACTGAACTCGGAGCATCCCACAGTGTCCCAGAAACTCTCATCTCAGGGGGCAGCCGCACTAAAAACCCGGCGCTCACTCAACTATGGCTAAGAAAACTCAGGTCAGCTATGGGAAAAAAGACCAGATCTCCTGCATTTCTGCAGGAGCAAGAGGGATAAGGAGCACTTAGGCAAGAGGGGCAGGCAGATGTGAGGCGTCTGGAAGATGTTTCACATTTCTACAGGGAATGGGGCTTCACAAAGTCTGGGAGCAGCAATCCCAAGAGCACCACGTCCCGCTGGCCCCGCTGCTTCCTGCGGGAACACGGAGCCCTCACGCTCGGAAACGGCAGCAAACAGCAGCAAGGTCACACGAATCAAGAAAGTTCTGTGTTAACAAAACCACCTAAAGAGTAATACCAGGCCATATCTAGAGATACAGACTGGAACAGTCATTGCACCTGCTGCAAGTCCTTTCTTTTATCCCTTTTCCATCAGAAGATTGCTAAATCCTAAAGTAATATTTCTGGTTTTAATTTCACATGGACTCTTCAGTCAATATTTCTGAGTTTGAGACAAATAAATGAAGTGGAAACATGATAAAGCAGGTAATTTAAACTCAGTTACAAAGAACAATGAAATAATGCCAAGGGATTGCAGTAAACTTGAAAAAAAATCAGCATTTTCTGGTGTCCACTATTTCACTTTATTTGAGAAGCAAATCCTAACTTCCCAAGTGAAGTTAGGATATCTAATCCTAAAGTAAAGGCTGTAAATAAAGCCAAACTCTAAATGAAAGAAGTCATTGAGAGATTCAGTGCAAGTTGTCTGGATGTATAAGAGTGTTCTCAAAGGAAAAATTGAGCAGCAGCGATTGGGGTCATGGGCACAATGTGGCATCTCTTTTCTAGAAAATTTTTCTTGATCCTTCCAACAGACATATATAAAAATAAAAATAGATAAATAATAACCCCCCCCACATTCCTGTAAATGTTACTTTTGGAGATTATGCATTAGTACTATTAAAAGGAGACTAGATTAAGCCTCCCTTTCCAGTGTCTGACTCGCAAGGCACAGCACCTGTCAGACACACCAAGGCCAAGGGTACATCTATGGAGATCTCTACTCAAGGGGGTCTCTACTGAAGGTCTCTTCCCAAGGGTTTATCCAGTCTGTGTCCTTGGAGAGGTCCCAGCAGATGCCAACATGAGCAGCCCGCCCAGCTGCTGTCCTGCGTGCTGAGCAGTACTTACGACTCCAGTGCTGTGAGGAGGGGATCGGGCTCGGGGACCTCCTGGAGCTGGTTGCTCTGGTCTCTGCTCAATCTGATGATATCGCACAGGGTCTGGGAAGCGTTGGATTGCCTCTGCAAGAGCAGAAGAGAGTGGGTCAGGACTAACTCCTCAGCCAGGCTTATCCCGGTGTCACAGAAAACATAGCAGCTTGGCGTGCAAGGAACCAAGTAAAGGAGCATTTTCAGACAAGTGCCACCATGATCTGGATTATTCATTCCTCTCCTTCTAATAGTTCACATCCGTGTAATAATTAGCAGATTTTGAAATCAAAGAGAAAGCCTTCCTGAATTCTCAATAGAGACTAAATACAAATAAAGATTGATGAAAGCGGAGGCTTTTTAACCATTCTGAGCAAGTGTGTTCACTTGTGGATTCACATTTAATTCACATCACTGTGTATTAAAAAGTATTTCATTCTTCCTTATCAGTACTCAGGAGGTTGTATCCATGAATAAAAACTAATTGTTTGCAAAACCATTTACAATTTAATCATCATTTAAGCACTGAATATAAAAAGGAACTAAGAAATTGGTAGTAAAGTGAATCAGAGATGGCAAAAATAAAGCAAAAGATTAGCAACCAAATGAGAGAATGTCCATAAAGATCATCCTTCCTTATCACCTTCCCTGGGATGCTTTGGTATTTATTATTCTAAGAGATAGAGTTAATTTTTCTGGACCTTACACTGCCCACGAACAGAGAACTCAGTTTTTGTCATACTCACGTCCTCGTCCTGGCTTGAATGGATCAGCTCCACAAGTCTCTGTATAATTTTTGCCTCATTAAGCCACTGGAGGGAGAAGAATGGAAAGAAAAGGGAAAGAAAATCCTTGTTTTATCACTGAATTAAAAACAGGATCTTTGGAAAGCTTTACATAACACAGGTTTTCCAAGAGGGGAAGCTCCTTTCCATCGGTCTCGTAACGCAAGTCTCAGGCAATTTCCCCTGGGCAGAGACAGATGGGCTTCAATCTGCACTGGTGAGTGCACCACGCTCACCAACATACGGACTCAAACACCTTCAGAAAACACAACACACCAACACTCTTCACCAGAAGCAGCATAACGATTAATATGATTTTCTTCTCTCATTGCCCGTTCTTATCGTGCAACTGGGCCCTCGCCATCCTCATCCTCACACTCAGCTTCCCAGCCCAACACAACCACTGCCACCTCCATCTCGAGGTCTTCCCCCAAAGCACGTGGCTGGATGTCTATCACCCCGTGCTTGCCCTTGCTTTGGATATGACTGAGCAAACCCCTAACTGAAGTGGCGAAGATCTCGCGAGCTTCTGCAATCATCTTCCATCGCTCCTCAGTTGGGTCATGGGGAAAGTTCATGAAGTTCCCTGCTTTCCACTCCTTTGTGAGAAGGCTCTGTGTGTATCTTCTCCCCCTGAATGCTCATTTTTAGGTACATGATTCAACTAAAGTCTTTATGTGACTCTTTACCAACTTGGCTCTAATAACCCTCCTGCAGATACCATCCTGTCCAATCTCTTGACCGACTTGTCTCTTCAGGTTCTTCCACTGGTTTCTAATTTTCTGCAATCAAAATTCAATTTCTGAGCCACCTTCTCAGGTCCATGGAAATGCAGCTGATCCCGACATCTTCTGTGTCTTGACTCACCAGTCTTACCACTCCTAGCCACTAAAACAATAACAATCCCTCACTTTTTTGCTTATTTATTCTACAGGAATCTGTTCTCATTTCCATGTATTTGGGTAAGACTACTGAAGTCTTTCTTTCAGATACCAAGATTCAGTTCTCTGATGATAGTTATGGGAGATGTTAACTGGCAATTTCACAAAACAGCTTCACCAAGATTACTTAAAATCTCATCATTTACACGTTTGAAAGCAACGTGGATGGGATGCATCAGCTGTGCCTCTTGGCACCCTCTGTAACAACTAAATACCCACCTCTGCTTCCCCTGCCATGGGTTATTTTTGCACGTTGCCTCTTTTCACACCCAGTCATGCACCCCACGTGTGCACAGCACTATGACTACAAACCCACCTTTGGACTGCAATCCCTGGATATTCCCAGGGTACCAAAGCACTGAGTAGTATCAATAGCGAAAAGAAAGTAAAGTAAAAGAAAGTAAAAGAAAGTAAAAGAAAGTAAAAGAAAGTAAAAGAAAGTAAAAGAAAGTAAAAGAAAGTAAAAGAAAGTAAAAGAAAGTAAAGTAGAATAAAGTAGAATAAAGTAGAATAAAGTAGAATAAAGTAGAATAAAGTAGAATAAAGTAGA